GAAAGAGTTGTTTCTGGTGGATTCAGTAGGACTCAGAAACATTGCCACACACTTATTGGGCTCCTTGTGGCATGAGTGCTCTGTTTCCAGTGTGTTATGAGTTGCATGAGCTTGTGGCTTTTCCAGAGAATCTTAACTACCATTTATGATAGCATTTCTATAGGAAAGTATATCATAGGTCTCCAGAAAGTAAATTGCAAAGAAACCTTAAGAATACAGATTTTTATAAGTTTGGGGATGACCAGTGACCTGGTTTTTGCACAAAGTGTTTGTACTTGGAAGAATTAAGATGGTCTGAACGTCCCAGCGACTTCCAAAACGGATCCTTTCATTGTGTTAGAATGTGTTTAGCTTAAATATTGTTGCTATTACTTGAACTACAAGAGCTGTGGTAGGGAAGAGAGAACTTTTTATTATGCAGATATTCCGATTGTGTGGGAGGGTTGTATCCTAGCCTCTCCTACTAATCATATTTTCATCAGTGACTTTTGCATTACAGCCATCGACTTTTAAAGCTGCCCATTAGACACTAACCTGTAATTTCATTTACAAATCTGTCTTAACAGTTTGCCTTCGTAACTCTTATACCAAGTTATTTCCCTTGATTTCAGTTATTATTCGTTAAATGTCTTCCAGTTTCTGGGCTTTTCATTTGGGGTTGGTAGTAGGAACAGGGAAGTCAAAGAAAGAAAAAGACAGTTTTAAGAATATTTTACATTGTGTAAGGTTTCTTTGCTTCACAGTTCTGATCAGAAGAATAAAGACCATATGGTATCCCAGGCAGTTTTTCTAATGTACATCTGGTCTGTAAGATTTGGCTTGGGGAACATGCTGCATATCAAAATGTATACATCTAGGTAAAGACAATTATAGTAAAGTTGATTCTTGGGATTAGATTTTTAAATTTAAAATTTTCAAGTTGCATACATCAATATTGTCCAAAAATTCTTAAATCTGCTCATAAAGTAGAATGTGTGTGTGTGTGTGTGTGTGTGTGTGTGTCTGTATGAAAGTTTCTTTCTTCCATAATTGACAGAGAGAGAGAGAGAGAGAGAGAGAGAGAAAGAATGCCAACAAGGTCCTGGTGCCACAGTCTACTGTGGCCCTTTAACTGGCCCCAGATCGTGGGCACATGTGTGCCTGGCCTCAGGGAGGTCTCTGGACCTGAACCAGTAACTTTCTCTTGGGACTGCCTCGTAGACTGTTGCATTTTACTGCTGTACCACCTTCTGGTCCCAGAATGTACAGTTTTATGTATATAGTTTTATATAGTAATTCTTTTTTTTTTACTTTTTTATTTTTAGATTTGACAGAGGGTTTGGAGAGGGAGAGAGACAGAGAGAGATGGAGAGAGACAGAGGGAAACGGCGAATGCACACTCCAGTAGGGTATGCTCATACCACAGTCCCTTCTCCATTTCTCCATCCTGTTGGGATTTAGGGCATGCACACTCACACACACACACACCTGGCATATTTTAAAACCAGCAGGTCTGGAAATAGAACTACATAGTTGGCCATTTTGGGATCCAGCTCCCTTAACCACTAGACCATGGGGCCAGACTGGTCATTTTTGTTTTAACAGCAGCTGAGCTAGTCTGTAGGAAGAAAGAAAAGCCTTTATGTTGATGTCTGATACTCAAACCACTCTACCTTCAATTACTTCTGAATCTCTTGAGGGAAAATGGGGAAAGTAGATGAAAAATTAAATGTTCCTGCTTACTTACAAGGATTTATTCCATTTTGTTTTTATATTAAACTTTTATAGCCTTAATGTATGTTAATTAGTTTTTTTGGGGGGTAAGGATTAAGTGAGATAATTTGTGTGAAAGATTCCAACAGGGCCTAGTAATAGTTGTTTAACTAACATTTGCTGGATTTGAATCTCAGTTTCACAGGTGGTATCATGGTTTATGGATCAGGTACTTCCTGTACATTGACATTTTGTACAGAACTTGATTTTTAAATGCTAAAAATGGAAAGAAGCAATTATTCTTTCTTTTCTGGGTATCTTAGGATGAATTGAGTGACGTCATCGATATTAAGGATCCAGATTTTACTCCTGCAGCTGAACGAAGGCAGAAGCGCTTGGCTGCTGAGCTGGCCAAATTTGATTCTGATCATTATCTGTGAGTATTGGGACTTTTTTTTTTTTTTTTTTAAGAGAGATTTTTTTTTGCTATAGGGCTTATGCTCGTCAGAGAAACAGAGAGAGAAACAGAAAGTGAGAAATCACCTCTCAGGGAATGAGCACACTGCAATCCATTCTCTTCCATTCTCTCAGGATTTTGGGCATACACATAGATGCACCTGGTGTGAGTTTCAGGCCGCCGGGTCTGGGACTTGAACCGTGGTTGACTATGTGGAAGTCCAGAGACGAAACCATTACATCTGCTGTTCCCAAGTACTGAGTTTTTAAAAAAATAATCAATTTACTTTTAAAAGCTTACTTTTTTTTTTTTTTTTGAGAGAGATTTTTGCTACAGGGCATGTGCACTCACCAGAGAGACAGAGACAGACTGAGAAATAGAAAGTGAGAAATCACCCCAATAGGGGACATGGCCATGCCACCGTCCCTTCTCCTTCATTCTCCTCTCGGGACTTTGGGGATGTATACATACAAGCCCAGTATTTGTTTCAAGCCACTGGGCCCAGGACTGAAACTGCATTTGATGATGTGCAAGTCCAACGACATTACCATTATGCCATTTGCTGGTCTTTTCCATTGTAAATTTGTGTTTGGAGTCTTAGAAATTAGCGATGGCTCAAAGCCTTAACTTGTTTGACTTAGCTTACACTGCTGTGTCACAATGATCTTTGCTGTTTCTTCTTAGTTGTTCATCCTACCCACAGAGAACTCTTCTAGTACTTTTTACAGTTTTTTCTTGCCAAGTGTGAAAATAAAACAGAATTTATAAGAATATTCACATTTTTAAGTGGACACTTTGTTGTGATTAATGGTATACATAAAATGGGTTTTAATTCCTTTAAGAGTTTGAATCTACATGTATTGCATTTCTTGGCTGATCTAGGATCTTGCTAACACTTTAATCCAATAGCATGTGTAATCAACAATCTGTTTCAAATGAACAATAATTATTCTTTGTGGAAGAGTATAATTAGAACCTAATTTTTAAATTTTGCCATGTTTTCCACCCGCTTTGTATCTTTAGCCGTAATGCATCTTTATCAGGCTTATATTTGCATAAGGAACTTATCTAATTAATGTATGGGTAAATGATCTCTTGAGAGATTCTGATGTCTCTCATAAGCCAGGGCAACAGCTCATCTTGTAGGGATTATCACCTGACCTGTGTAGATATTTGGCTATACTGGGGATGTGTTGTGAATGAGTGTCGTTATTTTTTATTTTTTTATTTTATGTTTTTGCTAGCGGGCACATGTGCTCATGAGAGAGAGGAAGAGTAGAAGGCAGCCCCTCACTGGGAACAGTCATGCTATAGTCCCTTCTCCATCTCGCCCTTCTCCCGGATTTCGAGAGCACACACGTGTACATGTGCCTGATGGGTCTCCCAAGCAACTGGGTCGGGACTCAAACCTTGTGATTGGCCGTGTAGGTCCAGCCCATTAACCACCAGGTCACAGAGTCAACCTGGGTGTTGAATTTTGATGTAGGCCTCAATTATTCTTTCCAAGCTCCAGGCCACAGTTTCTGAACTGGTACATAGGCAACCATAGTCATCGTCATTCTCATATTTATACAGTGCTCTCAGCTTATCAGGTGTTCTCATGTGATTGTTCAATTCAGTTTTCACAACAGATGAGGCAAGGAGGTTAAGGGACTAGCCCAAGGTGACACTGGTATTAAGTGGTTTGGCCAGGACTTGAAAAGGGACTCTCCATTTGTCATTTTGTATTTCCTTTTCATGTACAGGATTTCAGTTTAACTGCTGTGGCTCTTGTGATTAACATTCTATCTCCTGTGACACAGTAGGATACTAATTGGAATGGCAGAAATATGTCTTGTGATGTGCAAATGGAATGAGTGATGTGTAATGATAAATGGTTGAACTATTCAGCATCCTAAGGGAAACTGGGTAAGAGCAGGGTATGTTATATTTTGGAGGACATCTGAGAGATTCAACCCCATTTACATTGCCATTTCTAATTACCTTTATCTCTCCAATTGTGGTTTAAAGGTCCACTGAAGAGTAATTTGAAGAAACCCATTTAAAATCGTGCTGAATATTTAAAGTGGAAATTTCATTGTCAGCAAATTTCTCAGGCTAGCATGAAAACAGAATGAGCTTTACAAACGGAAACTTCAAGTGGGAGGGAGCTTAATTAGAAGAACTGCCTATCTTTTCTCTTCTAAAACTAGAAGAATAACTGTATGGCCTGAGAGAATTAGGAAATTGGAATTTATAGTTACAGTGTGATGTTATTACGGCCTTTCTTTTTCTCCATCTTCTGTGTTTCTTTAGTACAGAAGTTCATTCTTTTTAATGAATGCATGAAATGTTCTTTCCATTTCTTAAGGAACACTTCTTACAGGAGTGGTTTAAATTTAGTCATGGGCTAAGCCGGGAGAGGAGAGTCATGAGGTAAAGGTTCTTGGTGACTTTCCGATAGCAATAAGACTTTGGCTAATTATTTTTGTTACTCATTTCTCTTTGTTTGTATTACTTGACTGATTTGCCCAAATGCATTAAGTGAAGCACAAGTAAAGTTGTGTTACATTTTCAATCAAAAAAATTTTTTTGCTTTTGTTGTTGTTATTTAATACAGTGGAGAAAAAAGCTGACTTTAAATTCTTTGTTATCTACCACGTAGGTCATACACTGCACATATCTGAGTGCAAATTTACATATGCAAATATAATATGGACATGTCTCAATACATAATGTATAGTGCATCAGTGTAATATATGACCTATTTTTTAAAGAATTATTTATTTAGTTTGTTGATTATTATTATTTTTTAATTTGACCAGAGAGAGACAGAGTGAAAAGGAAAGTGAGAAAGCAAGCCACGAGGTCCAGGATTTGAACCACAGTCAGCCATGTGGGAGTGCAGTACCCTAACTACCACTCCTACTGCCAGTCCCTATTTTACCTATTTATTTGATTTGTCCTTACAAGTTGTGATGTCTGCTCAGGTGGGGTTTGGGGGGGACTCGAGAAAAACTAGTTTTAATTTCAGTCTAAGCAGAGTATAGTGAAGTCAAATGATTGTAAAGAAAAGTATATACATTTCAGACACATGTAAATAACTTTGGATTATTGTTATTATTTGAGAACTCCTCTGTTGTGAAATCTGAATGCCAGTGTGCTGTGATTCATTTTGTCTTGTTTCTGGTGTGGTTTGTGGCCCAGCACAGTGCTAGGCATGTAATGGATGATCCAAACACATTCGTTTTTGATTAAACCTTCTTGGCCATTTGTAATTCCTTTCAGATACTATTTTTGCAATAAAATCTCTTGACAATGTCTAGAAGTATTCTTTGAAAGTATTTCCTCTTTTGCTATTTTAGCCTAGTTTTCATATTTCTCTTGCAGAGAATATTGTTTGTTTTTTTTTTTTTTCTCCCCAACTTGCTTTTTCATTTCAATATTGGCATTATTTCCTTACTTGGTGCATTTATCCATGGTGTCTGCAACACTGCCTGGCATGTAGTTCCTTCAAACAAATATTTGTTGAACAAATACATGCATAAAAGAAAGAGTAAATACATGAAATTTTACTTTAATGCGTTTTCCTAAGGTTAGTGTTTCAAATAGAGAACCGGTTTGTAAACACGTGATTTTCCTCTTTGCCTCTCACTTACTACTTGTGTCTTGAGATTTACTCAATAGATCCAAAAGCCTAATCAATACACTGTCTTTTTAAACTAGTTTACAGTAATAAAAAACTACCAATATTTAAAATGCCACCCTAAATGGTATATGGTGGTCATTTTTGTCCCTCGTAGAATGTTTACTGAATTTTTTTTTCTCCCAAATAATAAGCAGATGATATTTTCATGCATTGGGTAAGGTAAAAAATACTAAGAATACCATGGTGACTGTGAGGTCTCTGAGCCCATGAGGTTTGTGTTCTTGTGGGGGAAGTAGGCAGTATTTCTGATGAGGGCTCTGAAAAAAAAGCAGATAATGGTTTAGGGGGTAATGGGGCCTCCCCTCTGACTTCTCTGTTTCAGCATGTCCAAAATCAAACTCATCATTTTACCTTAAAGTCCTGTTGAATGTGCTAACTTTGTCGAGTGCCCCGTTTTTCACTCAGCCACCCAGGGTGGAAACCTGAATTCATCTTTAACTTCTTTCTTATCCCACACATTCAAGCATCCTGACGTTGTACCATTCATCTTGTATTACTTCCTTTCCTCACCTGTGTCTGGCTCTTTGCAGCACTCACCTAACTGCCGAACCAGCATTTCTGCCTCCAGTCTGGACTTTCCAAGCCCATTAGCCGTGAAACCACTAGAATGAGGACTTAGGTACTGAAAATGAAAATCTGCTTAAACTTGCACTTAGGGCTCCTTTGCTGAAAGCATAAGCTCCTACTCTGCAGCATGTCGTTGAAAGTTCTCCATGATCTGGATCCTGCTGACCTCTGTAGCTTCACCCCTGCACCTCCCTGCCCTTGTTTACATTGCAGCTATAGTGACAGTTTCCATACCCGTACCACGCTCTTCTCTGTACTGCCTTTGCTCATGGTTTCTCCACTGCTCCACTCTCCCTGAATAACTTGTGCTTGTCTGTTTAGACTGGGCACACCCATGCACCCTCCATCATTGGCTGGCCTTGGAGGTCCTCCCTCCTCAGTGCTCCCTGCTAGAGTTGGTCTGTTTTGTTGTTGTTCTTCTATTTACAGTACCATATGTGATCGTCAGGCTGCTGCTAACATACTCACAGCTCTTACTGAATTCTAGGTCAGGGTCCGGCTGCCTGTATAGGGTTGCACCCACAGCTGGGGAGGTTCAACAACACAGGAGCCTTTCTCTAGAACGTCTGTCTTGTTGCCACACTGTTTTATCAGTCTTTATATTTGTGTCCCTGCTCCCCTTAAGTGGTGGAGTCCTTCTGAACAGGGAGTGAGTACTGATTTTCACCTCCTTGTTGCTGCAAGTAGAGGGCATCCAGTAAATACTTGGGAAATTAATGGCATTTAAAAACTTAAAAAAATAACTCTAGGGACCAGCAGATGGTGTGACGGTTATATCACCTGGACTCCCACATGACAGACTGCAGTTTGAATCCTGGACCTGGTGGCTTGAAAATCACACTGGGCACGTGTGCATATGTGCCTAAAATTCCAGTAGGAGAATCCAGGAGAAGGGATTGCAATGTTGCCATTCCCCTGGGTTGTGATTTTCACGTTCCTCTCTCTATCTCTCTCCAGTGAGCACACATGCCCTATGGCAAAAATTCAAAAAAAAAAAAAAAAAAGTGGAGTCCTTCTGAACAGGGAGTGAGTACTGATTTTCACCTCCTTGTTGCTGCAAGTAGAGGGCATCCAGTAAATACTTGGGAAATTAATGGCATTTAAAAACTTAAAAAAATAACTCTAGGGACCAGCAGATGGTGTGACGGTTATATCACCTGGACTCCCACATGACAGACTGCAGTTTGAATCCTGGACCTGGTGGCTTGAAAATCACACTGGGCACGTGTGCATATGTGCCTAAAATTCCAGTAGGAGAATCCAGGAGAAGGGATTGCAATGTTGCCATTCCCCTGGGTTGTGATTTTCACGTTCCTCTCTCTATCTCTCTCCAGTGAGCACACATGCCCTATGGCAAAAATTCAAAAAAAAAAAAAAAAAAGGATTGAACATTTTTTAAAAAGCTCTTACATTGAGGATTGACATCAGTGTTTTAGAAATATCATTCTTGGGACCAGCCGATGGCATAGCGGTTACATTGCTCGACTCCCACACGGCCAACCGTGGTTCAAGTCCCAGACCCAGTGACTTGAAACTGACGTGGGGCATGTGTGTGTGCATGTCCAAGATCCCAGGGTCAGGGAGGAGAGTGGAGGAGAAAGGACTGTGGTGTGGCCATTTCCCCGGGTAATGATTTCTCACTATCCCTCTCACTGTGTGTCTCTCTCTCCCTATGGTGAGCACACATACCCTAAGGCCAAAATCTCTTTCTCTCCAAAAAAGAAATAAAAGAAATACCCCTTTAACTACAGATGGGAAAATTATTTAAAGTTGCAAATCTGAAGGAGAAGAAACAATAGTGACTGAAAATAGGACAACAGTGGATAGTGACAGTGGACTAGGAGCCTAGTGTGTTTTTCAAGCTTCTGGGTCCAGGACTCAAACTGTGGAGTCAGCCATGTAGGGGCCAGACGTCTTAATCACTATGCCACCTGCTGGCCCCTTAAGTGTTCAATGCTTAGAGGTAAAAATTCTCCAGATTTTTGAAGCATGGTTTACAAGGTTTTTGTCGCTACAATGTATTATTTTCAGTTTCTCTCAACTTCCCCCTCCCCTTAACTGTGCTGCCTTGTTTTCTAGCCTTTCCTAACTATTCTTTCAGCCTGAATATTCTCTCCCACCCTTCTTAACTGGTAAACCTAATTATTCAACTATTAGCTTGGATATTATTTTGTCAAAAGCCCTTTCCTATCAATCACTTTTTGAAAAATAATTATGTATTTAATTTTGTTCATTAATTATTATTATTATTATTATTATTATTATTTAGAGAGATTTTCACTGTAGGGCGCATGCGCTCGCCAGACAGACAGAGAGAGACATAGAGACAGAAAGCGAGAAATCACCCCCCAGGGGGGATGGTCACGCTGCAATCCCTTCTCCATTCTCCTCTCGGGATCTTGGGCACGCACGCACACGCGCCCGGCGTGAGTTTCAAGCCACCGGGTCCGGGACACGAACCGTGGTCGACTACGTGGGAGTCCAGCGACATAGCCATTACGCTAACTGCTGGTTCCCTATTATTATTATTTTTAAATACACCAGCGAGAGAGGGAAAGTCAGAAAGCAGGCTGCCAGGTTTGGGACTTGAACCTCGTTTGGCTGTGTGTGGGAGTGTCCAGCACCTTAACCACCATACCACCTGCAGGCCCCTGTCATTCACTTTTATTCATACAGTTACATCATAGCATTATGTGGCACTGTAATTGCTTGACTCTTCTGTGGGACTGTGTGTTCTGTGAGGGCCAGGACTGCCTGTATCTGGTCAGTGGTAGATACTCAGTGCCCAGCACAGAACTTGGACCTTGAGCTTCTTGTTGAACAAGTGATGTATTTTGCATTTTGGCCATTTATTCTTATTGCTTATTGTTTTTGAAATTCATTTCCTAGAAAGAACTTGTGGAGGGCCAGCTAGTGGCATGGTGATTAAGGTGCTGGCTGCCACATGGCTGACTGTGCAGTTCAAGTCCTGGACCTGGAGGCTTGAAAAACATGCCAGGCATATGTGCATGTGTGCCCCAAATCCTGAGGAGACTGGAGGAGAAGAGATTGCAATGTGGCCATCTCCCTAGGGGTACTTTCTCACTCCTCCCTAACGCCTGTCTCTGTCTCTGATAAGCACACATGCTCTATAGCATCCCCCCCAAAAAAAAAGTATCTCAGTTGAAAGAAAAAGGTGTTTAAGCTCATAAGACTGTGAACTAGAAAATTCAATTTATCAAAGCAACCAACTCCTTGAGTTTCTAGTTAACTGAAATATAAATGAAATTTCACCCTGAGTTATACTTTGTCATGCTTTCTCCAAGAATTCCAGCTTTCACCTTTGAATGCAAGATAGCATAATTTCTGAATAATTATCTGTCAGGAGGCCACAAGGTCCAAGATTAAGGCATTATCAAATTCAGTATTTGGTGAAGGCTCATTCTCTAAGACAGATATATTTTAAATGTAGCTATACATTTTCTAGTTAAACTGAGAAAGTAGGGTACAGGAAAATTCGTTGTCTGTTCTCCACAAAGGCTGCTTATATCTTCTTTTTATTTTATTTTATTTTTTATTTTTATTTATTTTATTTTTTTGAGGTTTTTTGCTATAGGGCGCGTGCGCTCGCCAGATAGACAGAGAGAAACAGAGAGACAGAAAGTGAGAAATCACCCCCCAGGGAGGATGGCCATGCCACAATCCCTTTTCCTCCGTTCTCCCCTCAGGATCTTGGGCACACACGCACATGTGCCCGGTGTGAGTTTTAAGCTACCGGGTCCGGGACGCGAACCGCGGTAGACTACATGGGAGTCCAGCAACATAGCCATTATGCTACCTGCTGGTCCCTCTGATCTCTTTAAATAGAGGGTCCTGAAGTTTCATCCCAAATACAGTGGCGTGGATTAAAGAGAATCTGAACACATTTGTTTGTTCTAGCACTAGTACTTGATAAAGTTACAATAAAGAAACGAATCTTTCAACTACACCAGCAAAGGAAAACACACACAGAGAAGAAGGAAATTCAGGATAGTGCGTCTCCACAAGGTGAAAAGAAGATACAAACATACACACACACCCCAGCACCATTTTTTAGCATGTACACTCATATATGGTACCAAGATGCAACCTATTTTAGTTATATTAATCATTTTTTAAAAGAATTCTTTTATTTAACTTTACTTATTTATGTTCATTTGACCAGAGAGGGACAGAGTGAGAATGAGAGCAAGAGAGAGAGAAAGCAAGCTGTCAGGTCTGGAACGCAAACTGCGGTCGGCCATATGAGAGTCCAGCACACATGCCGTATAGCAAAAAAAAGAAAAAAAAAACTCTCAAAAATAAATAAATAAATTAAAAAATAAAGAGATCAGAAAAGTTGAATGTCTCTTTTTTTCTCACATGATTTATTATTTGTTTTTTTTGTATATACTTTCAATCATATTGTTTGACTTACAAGGAGACCATTTCGATATGTGCACATTTCTCCCCAGACCCGTTGATCGAAATATCTTCAACAGATAACACCACACCTCCCCACCCCATCAATGAAAAGTTGACTGTCTCTTGAGTCATATGTTTATGCTTACTTCTTGCTTTATAATGAGTAGTAACAACAGAAAGTAAAGACAGTGCCCAGTCCTTCCTTGAGATATACTGTGGATTTGACAGTTTTATGTTTTGGGTTCAAAGGGAATGAGTTAAGAGAAAATTTTAAAAAAATGAAAGCCAGCTTAATCCTATGTAACCAGCCCATTCAATATTTTTTTTCCAGCGCTGACTATTTTGAAGATGAGGCAATTGAACAGGTTTTGAAGTATAATCCTTGGTGGATTGATGCACACTCAAAAACAAAGTCCTCGTTGGGAAAGACTCAGGAGCAAGAAAATCATGCTGAATTAGGTAAGAAACTCAAAATTAGGCCCGTTTGTTTACTTTTTAAAAAATTCATGGTGTACCATGTTTATTCCTTCCCTATTATTAAGCATATTATTGTAATTGACTCCTAATACATGATTTCATATTACTAATTTTGGAAATGAGGTCTTTTTCCCTGATTGGAACATGTCACTAAATGTCAATAATGAGACCCATTTGTGTTACATAATTCTTTTGACGTACAGCTTCCTTTAGAATCATTGAAGTTCTTTTTAAAATGTTTATATAGTAAACTTAGGGATATTAATGCAAAAAATATTTGTAGTTTTTTAATAACCTGTATGAGAGGAATGAGTATTCCTCTGTGGTAAGGACATTTGAGTATTAGTAATGGTAGGAAGAGATCCAGTTTTCATTCTTTCTCTGTTGAATGAATTTGAGATGTCCTCTGCTTTTTCATGAGTGATTTTCTGAGGAAGCAGACATAGTGATCTTTGTATCTATACATTATAGAGTGCCAGTGGGCCAACTTTTTAATGAAAGCTATGCTGGGAGGTTTTATGAGCCACAAGAGATGACTAAGCCATATTTCAAATTAATCCAAATGTTATTCCACAGAGATTCCTTTCATAGATGGACATGTTACAATCTCCACGTCTAAGTGCAAGGCTAGTATGTTATGTCTGTAAGTTAGAATTAGAACAGGTCCAGATAGGTCCAGAACAGGAGGCCATCATTTTCTGTCATACTGATTTGGCTTTTATTTATATATTAAAAATAAAATTTCAGGGCTTAAATGAAAGAAATATAAACATGAATGTGTTCTAGAGAATATTAATTGTAATTGATATTCTTCTGACCCTTTCTTCTTCTTCTTCTTCTTTTTTTTTTTTTTTTTAATTTGCTACAGGCATATGCACTCACTGGAAAGAGAGAGAGATCTAGACAGAGAGGGAAACTGAAAAGTCCCCCCCCCATCCCCCAGGTGGTTAGCCATGCCATCTCCTCCATTCTCCTCTAGGGATTTTGGGCAGTCACACGTGCACCCAGCATTTTTTTCAAGCTGTTGGGTCTGGGGCTCCAACTGGACAGTGGGCTGTGTGAGGTCCAGCTGCCTTGGCCACTGACCAGCACCACGTTCCTATTTCTAAAAGTAATCCTATTAATAATGTTGGGGGTGTTTTTGAAATATGTGTACCTCCAACTGTTTGCTTTAAGGAATGCATACACAGAGTCATGTACACTCTGTTCTCGCCTTGCCTTTTCATTTTGTGGAGTATGTGGCAGATCTTCCATATCAGCACTTAGAGATCTACCTGAAGTTTTCTTTTGGCTGTCTAGTATCCTATTATTTATTTGTCCATCATGGTTGACGGGTATTTGGGCTATTTACAGATTTCGGCTGCTGCAAATATTACAGTGGCTTTCTTGACCAATCAGTCTGAGTTAGCTATGGGGCTCCATTGCATCATAGTTCTTTGATTCTCTGCATAGCGATGTAGTATCTTGTTATCTGCCCTTTTTTTCATTGTTTAGTATAGTGCCTATCGTAGTAATACTTATAGAATAAATCAATGCTACACTATTTTTTGGGCTATGTTTCATTAGAGTCTAGGTGATCTCTGCTAAATTAAATAATTACTACTGTAATCTTATAGAAAATAGAACTTTGACTCTACTATATAACAGAATCTCATTTATCATAATTTTCGTTATCTTTATTGTAGTTTTCAGCATATCCTGGGCTTTATGTGTAAGAATCTTTTAGACTCCCTACATACATAAATTTTCCAATGTAAGATCCCTAACACAATTTAAATAGCTAGCTGTGTATGCCATTTAGATGTGCTCAGAAATTTTGCTAAGACTGAACTCAAGGATATCAAGCAGTTCCCATCGTACCTCCAGTTGTAGCACAGTATTTCAGTGGGGTGGTGTGGGAGGAAACCGTTGGTTGAACAGTTGACTTTTCTGTCCACAAGGGTGAGCTAGTTGCCCTTAAAACCAAGGGAAGGCATTACCTTTGATTGAAATTCTGACTTACTCTACTTTGATCAATTGTAGTTTGTTCTCAGCCCAGTTTTCTGCGTTAGCAGTGCTTTGAGTTAGTTTTCTGTATGTAGTTTTAACAGGAGATCAAGCCAGTTATTCTTTTAACTGCGGACCCTCCTGACCTTTCATCTGACCCATGGCTTATAGCCAGGCTGGTGCTTCAGGAGCAGCCAGAGTCTGCTAAGCCATTATGGTGATTCATTCGAAAAATCACCTTTAAAAATAGCAAGGGCATGTGATCTGAGGTAGGAGAACGTGAGCTGTGTGTTGAACAGAAAGTACCTCTTTTAATATGCCAGTGTAAGGTTAAGTATGGGCTATAGGCTAGCTACAGGGAGCAAGGTTTAACTCCTTGTCTTACCACATGCCAGCTTTGGGTTGCTGGGGAAATTCTCTGTCTCAGAGTTGTCATGAAGACTGAATGGGATGGTGTGTTTAAAATCCTTAGCATATTATTATACAGAGTAAAATCATTGATAGGCACGCTAGAAATTGATTGGTTTCTCTGTAAAATTACAACTTAAAAAAAAGCTGTTTGTTAATGAGGTTTTATTTTTTTTTCTTTTTTCCTTCTTCAAATATTTGAAACGCCTAGAATTGGAGGAATAAATTAAAGTACTTTGAACCAGGATAAAAAATGAGAGAAAAGGAATAAATCAATAAATAAACTTTAGGGCCACGAGGTGGTGTGTGGTAGTTAAGGCACTGCATTTTACATGGCTAACTATGTAGTTCAAGTCCCAGACTTGGCAGCTTGAAAAACACACCACGCACATATGCACACATGCCCAAAATCTCGAGAGGAAAATGGAGAAGGGATCGCAGCATGGCCATCCCTTCTGCGGAGTGATTTCTTGCCTTGCCTCTCTCTTTCTCTGGTGAGCACACGTGCCCTGTAACAATCTAAAATAAATAAATGAACTTTAACATTCACTGTTTATCCACTGTGTATCATAATAGTCACAGTAGCTTGAATGTGTACTCCCAAGATGATGTGTTGAAATTTGGTTGTGATAGAATTAAGGGGGTAAAAACGACAACCATGCTGACAGACGAGACCACTGGGAGGACACTGGGATCAGTGTGCGACCCTGTGTTTGGAAACGTGTGCGTTTGTAAGGACACACTGCACATGCTCTGCTCAAGCTCTTGCCGTGCCGTGAGGCCCGGTGCTTGCTTTGGACCTCACTATCAAGAAGACTCTCACCAGACTGAGTCCCTTGACCTTGGACCTTTAAAACCATGAGCTAAATAAACCTCTTTTCTTTATGAACCATCCAGCCACAGGTCTTTCTGTTATTAGCAGCACAGTGGCCTGGAGCGGTGCTGTGTCCCCGTCCTCATCCTGTTTCTTCTCCTTTGCCCCTCTGGCCTTCCTCTTGGTGCCTTAGCAGCAGCTGCTGTCTCTTCAGTGCTTCCTCACCCGATGTTGCCTGGCAGATAGAGCAGTGTAGATGAGGGGTTGTACCTCTGATTCACCCTTCACAAAATATTAACTTGAATTGTTTTCAATTCCAGATAAGCTTGAGTTGGTGAACTTTGCTCCCTACTCTTTCCTTAGTTATGATTCTTGTCATTTTCATCTTCGCCCAGAGTTATAACACAAGAGACACTCATTAACAGCTTCAGCTTCACAATGATCCAGATTTTCCTCCCCAAAGGCTTGTAAATGGAAGTGTTAAGTGTTGGCCCTCCCTGAACTCTGGTTTCACAAGGATGGACTGAGCACTGTTTTCATGCTGTCTTTCAGTGGCTAATCTCAGCCCAAGACTCTGGGCACGTTATTGCTTGTTATGACACCACATAACGTTTACAGTCAATGAACTTCCTAGCAGGGACATCCTGTTTGGCACCAGCGAGCCCTTCAGTGTTTGTAGAGATAACTGTCAGTGTCGGCTTTGAGAGTCGTAGCACGGCAGGGCTACCCATTTAGGCCGAAGGTTTGAATGCAGCACATTTTCTTCTGGTTCCCTTGATCTGTTTCCAGTAAGTACAGGCTAATAGACAGATATACTCTCTGAAAGGAGACAGTTGTGGATGGTTTCCTAGTTGACCCAGACAAGACTGGGATGTTTGGGAGGTGGACTTAGAGAGGAAGGAAGATATAAAAGCAGCAAAATTATTTGGGAGAAAAGGTGACCACTCCACTGATATCTTTTTGTTTTGTTTTGTTTTATTTTGCTTTTAAGTTAATTTCTTCCTCGAGAGTGACAGACAGACAGATTCCCTGGCAGGGTCTTCACATGTGATCCACTGCCAATCTCAGCCAGCCTGGGTCGTGCCCACAGTCAGTGTGCTCAGGGACATTCTGGGGTGAGAGCCCAGGACCTTTCCCATGTGGGTTCAGCTGCATTATTGCTATGCTACTTCGCGGCCCCTATCTTTTCATTTTGATGAGAGTTTCTTTGCAGTCTTCAAATATATTGGCAGGCTTTTTAATGTTGGGAGGGGTCCTGGAGATTTTGCTTCAGTGCTAGGGCACCAGTTTCTTCTCCAAATGCATTGAAGTTTCATCTGACTTTTGTTTCAGTGTAAATTATTTTTAGAAGTATAATTAACCGAAATGTTGTGAACTATTTAGCAAAGCTGATGCATTGTGTGGCTAAGTTGTACAAATGCTTGACAAATGTTACACATGGTGGCACCCATCCAAGTATTGTTGGCACTGCTCTGCGGTTATTTCCAGGACTGCTGCTGGCTAGACCCGACGGTGTGCAAACCTCCCGAGTTCCCCTTTGGAGGATACGATTTACAATCTAATAAAAAAGGTCTTAGGGAACTCAGACTTTGGATTTCTCCAGTGATTTTTGTTGTTATTTTTATCATCGCCGGTTTCTGTGCTTGAATTTCAGGATTTAAATGTGTTTATTAACACGTTTTTGTATTATAATCAATGCATTTGTGTAATAATTGTAGTTATTAATGTCTTCGTGCATTATAATTAATGTAAAAATCATACCTAAGGGAAAACT